GACACTAAATATAGGGAAGTATTGCTGCAACTATGCAGGATATTAGTGAGACCACATCTGGAATTGACAAATTTTGGCCACCATACCCGAGAAATGTAGTTACGTTGGAGGCAGTTCAGATCAAGTTCACCAGATTGATTCCAGAGCTCAGGGGATTTTCTTATGAAGAGCCATTTAAGCCTATACTCTCTGGAGTTTAGAAGAATGAGAGGAGATCTAATTGAGTTGAATAAGATGTTGTAGGAGATTCACAAAGTAGTTGCAGAGAGGATATTTCCTGATGGAGCAATCTAGAGTGAGAGATCATAGTTTTAGGGCAAGGAATAGCAGATTTAAAACAGACAAGGAAAAATTACTCCTCTCAAAGTGTTGTGAATCTGTGGAATTCTCTGCCCCACAGTATGTTGAACTTTGGGACATTGAGGTAAATTTGACAAGACATAGACAGAGTTTTAATTAGTAATGGGTTGAAGTGTTATGAAATGTGGGTAGGGGAGTGGAGTTGAGGCCAAGGTGAGATTGGCCATGATCGTATGAAATGGCAGAGCAGACTCGAGATGCTGAATTGCCCACTCTTGCTCTAAGATAAATGGAACAAAGGACCTTCTTATGTTCCACCTATTTTCCATGGTAACTGGCCTACTCCTAGCTCTTTAATCTAATCTTTAGGGTTTGCTAAATGCTTTGAAGCTGATTTAGCATTTTGAGTTTCTCTAGCACTTAGTGGATGCTGCAAATCTAAAATAAAAAGTGTTTTGCTTTTATGAAACTATTGGTAGTTAAAGCTTTTCCCTGCAACCGCAGGAAGTGCTACACCTGCCCCCATACCTCCTCCCTCACCCCCATCCCAGGCCCCAAGAAGACTTTCCACATCAAGCAGATGTTCACCTGCACATCTGCCAATGTGGTATGCTGCATCCGCTGTACCTGGTGTGGCTCCCTCTACATCGGGGAAACCAAGCGGAGGCTCGGGGACCGCTTTGCAGAACACCTACGCTCGGTTCGCGATAAACAACTGCACCTCCCAGTCGCGAACCATTTCAACTCCCCCTCCCATTCCTCAGACAACATGTCCATCCTGGGCCTCCTGCAGTGCCACAACGATGCCACCCGAAGGTTGCAGGAACAGCAACTCATATTCCGCTTGGGAACCCTGCAGCCCAATGGTATCAATGTGGATTTCACAAGTTTCAAAATCTCCCCTCCCCCTACCGTGTCCCAAAACCAGTCCAGCTCGTCTCTGCCTCCCTAACCTGTTCTTCCTCCCACCTATCCCCTCCTCCCACCTCAAGCCGCACCTCCATCTCCTACCGACCAACCTCATCCCACTCCCTTGACCTGTCTGTCCTCCCTGGACTGACCTATCCCCTTCCTAACTCCCTACCTACACTCACCTTTACTGGCTCCATCCCCGCCCCTTCGACCTGTTTGTTTCCTCTCCACCTATCCTCTCCTCTATCCCTCTTCTATCCGCCTCCCACTCTCTCCCTATTTATTTCAGAACCCCCTTCCCCTCCCCCTTTTCTGATGAAGGGTCTAGGCCCGAAACGTCAGCCTCTCTGCTCCTATGATGCTGCTTGGCCTGCTGTGTTCATCCAGCCCTGCACCTGGTAGTTAAAGCTACCCAGGTATGTTTAATATGATGAGAATAGAAGAGATTGAAGTGTGAAGCAACGCCGCACTTAATTGGAGACATGGTGTCCACAAAGCTTGTAGAAATGACAGTCCAGGGGTGTAAGAACTAAATTGAGGAAGGGTCACCGGACCAGAAACATTAACTCTGATTTCTCTTCACTGATGCTACCAGACACGCTGAGCTTTTCCAGCAACTTCTGTGTTTGTTACGGCCAATGTGCCGTAACGTTAGAATTTTTATTGCAAAAATATACTTTATTCATATAAAATCTTTATGTACGTACACAGTTACTAAAGGATAGAGCCATACAGCAAGAAACAGATGCTTTTAAGATTGTTCTGTGCGCAGAAAAACAAACATTGGATCTGATATTCCCTGCAGTTGCAAAGGCCAAAAGCATTTCTTTCTTATGCAGCCACTATTTACGTACATTTAAGAAAATGAGAAGTTCTGATAACTAAACAGACTCCATTGTACTTTGGCAAGAAGTCCTCAGATGGTGGTCTTTCCTCATTGCGTCTTGGTGGCAGCTGCCCCAAGCTTTAGTGTGTCCCTCAGCATTTAGTTCTGGACCATTACATTGGATATTCAGCAATCACTGAAACTCAGCATTTTGATTGCCTTATCTTCCTAGCTGTTAATCTGTTAAAGCACATGACCCCAACCTTTTTAAGTATACTAGACTTCATGCTGCTTCAGTTTCATTTGTCCCATTCTGTAGTTAAACTTTTAGTTTCTGTAACAAAAACAACATTCTAACTAAAATTCATGGGCCACGAACTAGATATTTGCAACAGCCATATTTTTAAAAATCTTGATATTCAAAAGCAAACATGTCTTAATTTGTGTATTGACAGCTGTAATATCACAAAAGTTATATGGGAAAACATGTCTAAATGATGCACATCATTTTCAAATTTCTTCATAAGAGTTTAAATTTGACTTAATACTGACTCAGTGCAATAAAATTCTACTAAAAACTGTCTTGAGAACAGAGTTTTACCTGGGGTGTTGGCCTGTATTTATCCCTCGATCAACATGACAAAAATTTATTACCTGGTCATTATCCTAACTTGTTTGTGGAAGCTTGCTATGCCATACTTTGGCTGCCATGTTTTCTGCATTGCAACAGTGACTGCTTGTCATACTTCATTGGCTGCAAAGCGCTTTAGGATATCACAGTGACTGTGAAAAATGCAAGTCTTTCCTCGCTTTCCTCACTTCCCTCTGGGTTTGATTTTAATTGCACACTTTAACTTATTCTTCCTATTAATGTTTGATTTTTCATAGGCATGTAGTGGTTGACTGGTAAGAACATTTCAAAACCTTTTTTAAACAACAGATTGGAAATAAAAGTAGATTTTATGGATCGTATTGGGGAAAAATACATTTTAATCTGTTTCTTACATCGTAACCGTGTATACTTGAAGTTAAAGTTCAGTTTGTACTTAATATAAAGAAAATGTCAAAGTGGTCTATTGATCTCTACCTTTGACTTATCTAGCAGAGCATTACCTTTTGCGTATCTGCATTTCTTGCCAGCTGGAATGAAAAGGTGAAGAATAAACATTGGCCAACCCAGGCTACATTAACTGTACTGTGCGGTTTCTGAAGTTTAAATGGCTGAATCTTCTCTGGTGTCAATAGTTAAAAGTGCAGTATGAAGCTAAAGCTGGTGCATTGACATTATTGATTGTGGTGGGTGTACACAAATTTAAAGTGTGCTACTGATTGATCCATGCAAAAAGCTTGTTTATAAAACAACTTTGTTGCAAAGAAGAGTTCCCTGCCTTGCATATCTTCTATGGCTTTGGCAAAGCTGTGAACGACTAAGTGTTGCAGGCCAGTCAGCCAAAGGCTTTGGCTTCTTTCAAATTGAATATTCCACATTCTCCCATTTACTTCTGCTCACTTCAGGACATGTCCATTGCTTTGCTTAACAATGGAATTATAAGGACAGAACTATTGCACCATTTGTCTTTTGAAAATTAAATGTTGTATTGGGATCAAAGTGAAATTTTATTTGTTATATCTTTATGATAAGTTATAATTGAAATGATAGCTTTCTTAGTTTTTTTTTCCCAACTTCTAACCTGGATTTGCATTTGTGCCAAACAATTTTCTTGACCGTTACCTCTGATTCAGTCCCATTGCCCAATACCGTAATGCAGGTGTGATGCTGGTAGTTGTTGAATAAGTAACATTCACTGTCATGACATAGTATAATTTCTAAGCAGTTTTTTTCTTTACTTACAATGTAACTCCCTCAAAAAATTGGGCCAAAAGATTACTTTTGGGAGATACCACAAGATTTAATCAACTTTTAATTATTACATTTAATCAACTTTTAGCCATGGTTTAATGTAAAACTCATTAAGATTTCATTTAATCCTTTAATATTTAAAAAAAAAGCTATAAATAATTTGCTGAATTACAAAGCTTTTTAATTGGCTTATGTTTTAAAAAATGATACTGGTTTTGTGAGAGAGCTCCTACACTTTGTGATGGTGTCTAGTATTGAGATATTTTTAATTTTTTGGCATGTGGACATCACTGGTAAGACCAACATTCGTTGTCTGACCCTAATGGTCTTTGAACTGATTTTACAAGGCCATTTCTGAGGGCAGTTTATAGCCAAGTACATTGCTGTGAAGTCACATACAGGCTGGACCAGGTAAGGGAGGCAGATTTGCTTCCCTAAAGGACATTTGCGAAACGTGTTTTTTTTAAAACTGGATCAATGATAGTTCCATGGTCATCATTATTGAGACTACCTTTCAATTCTGTCAGCTGCCATGGACCATGATGCTGAAGTTCAATATTAGCTGCTACGCTGAATTATCAGTACGGTGACATTACCACCACACCACCATCTCCCCTTTGACTTTGATTACCAGCACCATTAGCAATTCATGTCTTGTGTCAAACGTCTGCTTTACTGTGCATGATCTATTTTTTTGAAAAAAAAATGTAGATTTTACTGATCACTGCCCTTTGTGTCTGTATGTTGATTAGCCTTCTGTACTGGATATGTTTGTAAATACCATATAGATAATATACATTTTAATGTATAATTACATATAATGACAGGTGTACAGTTTTACATCTAAATTCTATATATTTTTTCCTGTTTTTCCTTATTCCTTAACTGTTTGGAGCAAAAGTTGGTTTAAATTTGTCACTGCCTACATTGAATTATATGCACTTATTGTTCTTTACATGTGATCTTTTCCTGGTCATTTTTGCTTTGATTCAGGAGATGGTATTTTTAGATTGCAGGTTTTGCCAATAATATAATAATTTATATAATTCTAATTTCATGACTTTCATTTCATTAATACTGCTCTCCTTTATTTTACTTTAGGATCAATTTGACAATATAGAGAAGCACACACAGTGGGGAATCGACTTCTTAGAAAGATATACAAAATTTGTGAAAGAGAGGTTAGACATAGAGCAGAGCTACGCAAAACAATTAAGGTAAGAATGTACATCGAAACCTTTGGCTTTGTCATCTTTAACCATGTGCGCTGAATTATTTCTTTAAAAGCCTTCATAGACATTTTGTGAAGGTGCTGGTGTTGGCCTGTGGTGGACAAAGTCAGAAGTCACATGACACCAGGTTATAGTCCAACAGGTTTATTTGAAAACACCAGCTTTCGGAGCGCTGCTCCTTCGTCAGGTGAAGTCACTTGGTGTCATTTGGCTTGACCTGAAGAAGGATCAGTGCTCCGAAAGCTTGTGATTTCAATTAAACCTGTTGGACTATAACCTGGTGTTGTGTGACTTCTGACTTCTTAGACATTTGATACTAGTAATTTAATTGCTGTCAAAAATAAATTGCTAAAAGTATTTTTTGATTTGATCTATTAAAACACATTTGATGGTGTATACTTATTTAATGCAAGTTTCCATGTAACTTATTCAAAGATGTACTTTTTCAAAAATGTACTTTTACAGGTCTGGCACAGAAGAACAAACCTAAACTGTACAATAAAACTGGAAAATAGAACATTACTCGTATCTGGAAGGCAAACTATTAAATGGCTGCCTTCTGAAAGTCTAAGCTTTGACCAAGAAAGAAAAATGCTCAGTTTTGACATTGAGGTTAATTAGGTGGGAGCACTTTATGATTGTGTCTGGAGAGCTGCTTAGACTGATAATTGTTAAGAGAAGGGACTTGTTATTTACTGTGTAGAAATGTGAACAAATGAAACAAAATTGATTTTGCTATTAATGTATTTCTAAGTGGAAGTGCATACTTGCTCACATGTGGACACCTCCGTACACAGCTGCAGTGTTCTAGAGAAAATCAGTACAAGTTCTGAACAGCATCACATCTTTCACTTTGGCACTTTACAGTCTTTTGGACTCAACGTTGACTTTAACAATTTTGGACTGTTAGCTATCTCCTTGCGCCAACTATTTTGTCATGCTGTCTTTTTTTGGACAAGAGCTGTTTATTATTCTGCTCCTTGAACCCATTCTTGGCAAATCCTTTTTCTTTCTTTATATCAACCATTACCACTTTCTTTGCAATTAATACTTTTAAAATCTAAGTCAGTAAATCTCCCGCACCCTCCGCACTATTACAGATCTTCCTGTTTGTTTTTTCAATTTTTTTCCCTTTCACTTGCTTATAGTTGATTGCATTTCAATTTCCCTTCAGTTCTGAAGTAGTCTTTGACCTGAAATGTTAACTCTGTTTCCTTCTCCACAGATGCTGCCAGACCTGAATATTTCCAACATTCTCTGCTTCATTGCAAAAAGACTATTTTTATGGAGTTGTAAAACTTAACCTGAAGAAACGCTTCAGGGAAATCAGAAAACAAATCTAGGGGAAACGTATAGTGCATGCACTAATGTGTAGGCTGACTGCTGAGATCACAGAGATTATACGCAAGTTTCTTGGCTGCTATTTCCACACAACTAATTGAAGGTTCCTGGACCTGGAATCATTTTGGGAGAGCAAAGTGGAATGTTGCTCAGGCCAGGGATATGCAAGCAGTGTTTATATGTTTTCACATACAATCCCTGAAGCCACTTTCCTTCAGTGTGATCTTTATCCGTTGTACCATAGGATGAGTTTGGAGGAAAAAACACTTGTAAACAGTAAATGTCCCAATGTATTGTCGCTAGTGCTTGTACTGTAGAATGGGATTAAAGGGTGGAGAAGACTGGACAGGAAAGGAATGTTAATTGAATGCTTGTTCTGTACTTTCTCAATGAGGCTGCAAAAGATCATTGTCTTACAAAATGTGGTAAAACTGACAATTTATTTCGCCTGTGTTTGTTCGTTCGGAAACAAATTTGGGTGAGAGGCTTTTGATGCTGTTTGGGCATGTTAACAAAAAAAAAACTTTTGAAGAAGCATGTTCAGTTCCATATTTGTGCTTTTTTTCTAACCATTCTACCCTCACTTTCTCCATTATGAAGAATGAAATATTCAATGTTTACTGAAGGATTCCTGCAGTTGTAGAATTTGAATTGATAGTAAAAGGAGAATTGATCCACTGCAAGTATTAACTTCTTTTTCCCCAATGTTTTATGTATATTACAAGTCATTCAGACCATTTAGGCAATCTTAGTTAACTGATCCTTTGAATGCAAGTTATCTTAGATGCTTGCAATGGATTGTGAATACCTTTAGTTGCCAGGTTGGCTGATTTGTCTACAAGCACATCTTTGTGCATTGTGAGAGACGATTCATTTAATAGAGTTGGATAGTTGGCTCGGGATTTTCTAATGATTTGGTGTCTCCGTTAACTCCTTTCCTTGCCAATCTACAATTGAATGGAATATAAAATAACAAAGGTTTTTTATGGTTGCATTGGGCACTGGTGAATCTACATCTTAGGTACTGTGTGCAGTTTTGGTCTCTTTATTTAAGAAAGTATATAATTGCATTAAATGCAGAGCAGGGAAGGCTCATGATTGATTCCTGAGATGAACATAGAACAGTACAGCACAGTACAGGCCCTTCGACTCATGATGTTGTGTTGACCTATTATCCTACTAAGATCAAACTACCCTGCATACCCTACATTATACTATCATCCATGTGCCTATTTCAAGAGTCGCTTAAATGTCTCTAATGTATCTGACTTCACTACCACTGCCGGCAGCACATTCCACACATCCACCAGTCTGTGTAAAGAACCTAACTCTGACATCTCCCCTATACCTTCTTCCAATCACCTTAAAATTATGTCCCCTCGTAATAGTCATTTCTGCCCTGGGAAAAAGTCTCTGGGTACCCACTCTATCTATGACTCTCATCATCTTGTACACCTCTATCAAGTCACTTCTCATCCTTCTTCGCTCCAATGAAAAAAGCCCTAGCTGCCTCAACCTTTCCTCATAAGACCTGCCCTCCAGTCCAGGCAGCATCCTGGTAAATCTCCTCTGCACCCTTTCTAAAGCTTCCACATCTTTCCTATAATGAGGTGACCAGAACTGAACACAGTATTCCAAGTGTGGTCTAACCAGGGTTTTATAGAGCTGCAACATAACCTCGCAGCTCTTAAACTCAATTCCCCTGCCAATGAAAGCCAATGCACCATATGCCTTCTTAACAACCCTATCAACTTGGGTAGCAACTTTGAGGGATCTATGGACGTGGATCCCAAGATCCCTCTATTTTTCCACACTGCTGAGAATTCTGCCATTAACCCTGTATTCTGCAATCAAATCCCACCTTCCAAAATGAATTACTTCACACTTTTCCGGGTTGAATTCCATTTGCCACTTCTTTGCCCAGCTCTGCATCTTGTTGATGCCCCGTTGCAACCTACAGCAGCCCTCCACGCTATCCACAACTCCACCAACCTTCATGTCATCGGCAAACTTACTAACCCACCCTTCCACTTCCTCATCCAAGTCATTTATAAAGATCACAAAGAGCAGAGGTCCCAGAACAGATCCCTGCAGAACACCATTGGTCACCGAGCTCCAGGCTGAATACTTTCCGTCTACTACCACCCTCTGTCTTCTATTGGACAGCCAATTCTGTATCCAGACAGCCAAGTTTCCCTGAATCCCATGCCTCCTTACTTTCTGAATGAACCTACCATGGGGAACCTTATCAAATGCCTTGCTAAAATCCATATACACCACATCCACTGCTCTACCTTCATCAATGTGATTTGTCACCTTCTCAAAGAATTCAATAAGGCTTGTGAGGCATGACCTGCCCCTCTCAAAGTCATGCTGACTATTTCTAATCAAACTGTGCTTTTCCAAATAATCATAAATACTATGAAGAGGTTGCCTTATGAGGAAAGGTTGAGCCTGTATCCATTGAAGCTTCAAAGCACAAGAGATCATATTGAAATATACAGGACCCTCAGGACGTGACAGCATAGATACTGATAAGATGTTTTCCCTTGTGTGAGAGACTAGAACTAAGGAATACATTTTAAAAGGAGAAGAACTCCCATTTAAGACAGGGACTGATCTATTTCTCTATGGGCGGCATGGTACTTCATTGGTTAGCACTGCTCCTTCACAGCGCCAGGGACCTGGGTTCGATTCCAGCCTTGGGCGACTGTCTGTGCGGAGTTTGCACATTGTCTGCGTGCGTCTCGACCGGGTGCTCGGGTTTCCTCCAACAGTCCAAAGATGTGCAGGTTAGATGGATTGGCTATGCTAAATTGCCCATAGTGTCCAGGAACATGCAGGCTACATGGGTTAGCCATGAGAAATACTTGGGTACAGAGATAGAGTAGACGGGGTATGGGTCTGGGTGCGATACTTTTTGAAGTGTTGGTGTGGACCTAATAGGCAGAATGGCCTGCTCCCACACTGTAGGGATTCAGTGATTCTATCGTTGTTAGTCTGTGGAATTCTTTTCCCTAGAGAGCAGTGGAGATGGGGGTCATTGAATATATGTAAGGCTGAGTTAAGTAATGCAGTCAAGAGTATATGGGATGGGTAGGAAATTAGCAACAAAAATCAGCTATGATCTTATCAAATATGTAGCAGGCTTGAGTGGCTGAATGGCCTACTCCCTGCTCCTAATTGTTATGTTTGAGTATCTGATGATATTTTATGTTTGTAATAATCTTTGTCAAAGATTCATCTTCTACACATTTATCTCAACATTCTTTCTTCTCTTGTTGAGAAAGGCTGCTTAACTTTGGAAAGAGGACCAATACTTGCACTGAAAGGGTAAATAACTTCCATATTGAACAGATATGAGCATCAGATTTGCAACAATGGGCAGAACCTTATTTGTATTAAAATTCCTTCCTCTCAGAGAAAAAGAACTATAGTCATATGAGTTTTAAAATGTTAATTTATTGAAAAGTACACCAATTATTTTAATTATCAGAATCAAGAGTAGACAAAGGCAGTATTTGACATATTCAGGCCGGAGAGAGTTATTCAGTTTATGTGAAGGAATAGTTGCACCATTAGTGCCAGAGATATCAGAAGACTGTGCTTATAATTGAATCAATCAATCAATCAATCAAATGAAC